GGGCGATTCGGGGGAGGAAGTCTCCGCCAGATTTTTAGCAATTGGGGCCAGAAATCGTCCCTCCTCCCTTCCCCTCCCCGAGGCCGCTGAGGCACTCTCCAATCGCTGTTCTCTAGCCATCGGAAAGGGTGAACGGACTGAGGGGCCTCAGGGGCCAGACGAGCGATTTGTGCCAATGTCAGAGGCCTCCATACTGATGGGTGCTCAAAAATCATGTGCACAACCCATTGAAGACTAAGAGCTTGGGATTGGGTGAGAGGGTCTAGAATACCAAGGCCTCCACACGCCTTGGGTTGGGTGACTGAGTTCCATGCCACCCGGTTGATGGCATGGGGATTCTCAATGTCCCCTCTCCAAAGATAGCAGGGTCTCTAGGGCCCTTGGGCTTAGCGGCCAAAGCAATGACTTATACCAAAGGGTGGCCAAGACAACATTATTGATCACCAGGGCCCGACCGAAGAGTGAGGTGTGTTGGTGATTCCATTCGGAAAGTTTGGCGTCTGCCGGGGCTGATAACCAGCCGTCATTTTCGAGGGGCTTGCCTGTCCCTGCCATCTTTACCCCCAGGATCCGAATTGGGGATTCGGGGGCCACCCAGGTAATATGGTGTCCTTCCGGAGGTCGGCCTCCTTGATGATGAAGCCACCAGCCTATCTGTTTGTGTCCCCCGTTGACGACCATGTCCGCGAGGTTGCCAAAAAGGGTCATCATTATGTATATTACTTCCATGTTTGTTGTGTGGCGTCTGCCATGATTGCGAGGTCATCCGCAAATAAAGAGCAGACCGGGACAGCTTCCTCGGGGATGCCCGCTATCTGAATTCTCTTTAGGTCTTTACATTGTCGGAGATTGGTTGCTAGAGCTTCCATAATGATAATGAATAAGAAGGGGGCGATGGGATCCCCTTATCGAACTGACCATTCCAGTCTTATTTATGGGGCCATCGACCCATTTATTTGGAGTCTTATGGTTGCGCTATGATGCAGAATATGTACCCATCTCCGAAAGTTGTAGCCAAAGTCCAGCCTCTCCAGGCATTTATCTAGGAACGTCTAGTCCACATGGTCATATGCTTTCTCGAAGTCGATGAAGATGAGTGTGGCGTTGCTTTTGGTCTGATGGGTCAGGCTAATCATCTCATTGACAATATGCTCTCCTGGATGTTCCGATTACGTATGAAGCCGGTTTAAGTTGGGTGAATGATATCTTCCACTACTTCGATCATTTGATTGGCCAAGGTTTTTGACAACATTTTGTAAACCACCGTTAGGAGAGTGATGGGGCGGTAGTTCCGGATGCTCTAAGTCTGGACCTCGGCCTCTACAACACCCTGTTTTTTTTTGAAAAAAAAAATAAATAAAACTCTATTGTCCAACCCTACTGTTTTACCTATGACAAACTAGGAAGGTGCCACAAAGACCAACCGGACCAAACTCTCATCTACGACTACTGTAGAAACGACAAAAAGCAAAATAACAAACAAAGAACCACAAAGACCAACCGGAACAACTTCTGATCAGTGAGGCTGATAAGAGCAAAAAATAGAGAGGGATTTAACCCTTTCTCTTCACACCATCTGGTTGTGGGTGGACTGAGATGTTTTTTTTGAGGGGGCAAGTACATTGGAGTCACATCCGGCGTTCAGAACAGACAACTTTAGCAGTTCCCGAAATAGAGCAAAAAATCAAAATGGAGCTTTGGTCTGCCTGGTTATAATGAACAGGGATCCCCATATTCCCAATTCTCCCAGCAATCAAGTTGTTTTCTTTCCATTCAGTATGATATATACGATCAGAGTTCTACTTCTTTCCTCTCGTAAAGGATGGAGAGTCTACCACCCAGAGCTCCCCATCCCCGACCTTCCACTTGACCCAGGAGAATGACTTTGGCAATCTGTTAAGCGGGGGAAGCCACAAATTCTGATCTCACTGACTGTCAAGGCAACGTACCGCGTATTGAGACCAAGGTGGAAATATCAGCAGTAATACAAGAGCGTTGGGCCCGTCATCTTAATATAGACATAAATTTGTTACGGAATTTCAAGTTTTTTAAACCACCAGTACTTCCTAGAGTCGTGCCCGTTAATGCGCCACGATTTTAGGAAACCTACGGGCTACTACAGGAGCGCCCAAATTCATCCGACTAGAAATGTTTCTACTCTTTTTTTTTTCGGCGGCTGATAGCTAGGCCAAGTACTGGTGGTTTGAAGGTGTAAAACAAAGACCAGCAAAGTTTGTTTCGTTGCAATGGCAGATTGTACATTGTTGCCTGCCCACCAATGATTGGCTCATTGATCACTCTTTTTTAGAACAAAGGGGGCTAAACTCTCCATGGTGCAAATCTTGTCTTTCACGTTTTCCCAGTAGAAAGATTAGAGAGACAATTCAGCATATTTTTATGCAATGTCCAAGCTCAGGATAGCAGAAATTCACGAAAATGCATTATGTTATTTGCATGTAGGTGGTATTATAGGACTTGTATTTTTGCTGGAAATTTTCTTAGTTGTAGATAATGATTACATTCCAATATTACCAACAGAATTGAGTACAACTGTATTTCAATATACTGTTTATAACTTTATACTTCCAAAATACAAAGTTGGACGAATCTGGAAACTTTAGGAAATCTACTTTATACCACTTATTTTTATTTATTTCTGGTTTCAAGTCTTATTTTATTAGTGGTCATGATTGGAGCTATAGTACTTACCATGCATAAGACTACTCAAGTAAAAAGACAAGATGTTTTTCAACAAAATATGATAGATTTTGCCACGGGTTTTTGCATTGTAAAATGCAAGTATATCTGCGCGATCCATCAGGATCAGCTTACTCTGGAGACGATGGGACTGTATTTGGAGGGGTCTAACAGGGGTGGAATGACCCTGGGTGTAGAGGGCCATTCCTTTGGGCCATTGGGGACCTATTTGTCTCACCACTTTCCAACAACAAAATCTATTTGAAATTAGCCGAAAGGCGGAGTTGTGGAGTCTCTGGTACAAGCATTGTGTTTATACGAGAGAAGAGGTAAACTTGGACGGAATAGAGAATTGCAGAAATACTAGTACAATTTGTGCAAACTGAAGTGTGCGGGCACGCTGGTCAACTCTTAAGATTAAACTCTGTTTTTTTTTTTTTTTTTTTTTTTTTTTTTTTTTTTTTTTTTTAAGATTAAACTCAACTTCTTACTGACAAAAGATATTCCACAGAGTATTCAGAAATTTGAGATGGACTGGCTGGGGAGGTCTGAGGGGGGGGGACTGGGTGAGGTGAACTGGCCAGGGGGCCCAGGGGGAGGGGGGTCCCTCTAAAGAAGGACTTCCATCTTGTCTTCCCAGAATGGTTCAAGCTTCGCCCAGGAGACTCTCTTAGATCTACAGATTGTTTTCCTGATCCGCTCCCGCCTTCTGGACTAGCCCTCAGGGGTAGGATAGTTTGAATTGTTGTGCAGTATATGGCGGCCTCTTATGTGCTGAAGAGGTTATCTATGCCTCAACCAATCTCCACAAACAACTCTGTTTTAATCTGAGGGGACGCTGGACCCCCTTTCCGGCAGGTGAAGCTCCCCACCAATGGAACGGCGCCATCAGCTACACAGATAGAGGTGTATGTTCTTATGAGTCTTATCATCATCTCTCGCTGTTAGAGCCTCGTTCCACACCACCTGAGCTCAAGAGCGACGCAAAAAATCATCGTTCCACCCCCCCTTTAGAGCGACCAGCTTTGTTTTCACTTTTTTGCGTCCCAAGGGTGCGCCCTTGAAACTCAAGGGTGACACAGCCAAAATCACCCTTCAATTCAAGTCACCTCCCAGAGGTACCTTGAGCCCTTACCGCCCGCACTCCGGGTGGAGCCTTTTTTTTGTTTTTCTTTTTTTTCCAGCAAGCGATCCTGGTCCAGGATTGGTCAGCAAGCCGTGGAGTTCGGTTTCAAGTGTGCAGAGATCCTGTTCAAGGGTTTCCTCAAGTGCACATGGAACCATAAATCGAGTAAGTGTAAATTAATCACAATTTCTCGCTTAGTGTGCACTTGAAACTCGAGTATTTTCAAGTGGTGTGGAACGAGGCTCTTAGAGCTGGTGTTTTCAAGAGTGTTAGCGGTGCCTGCTCTTATCAGCATCCTAGCATTCACTTTTTTTTTTAAAAAGACAAAAGAAAAAAAAAGGTGACCCTATATCTGCTAAGCGCCACTGAAGGTAATGTCTGGCACAGTTCTAAAGCCCCGCTGCCACAGTTTCCCCCTTTTTTTAAAAATATAACTGAGCTGTATTCTTCTCTCAGTTTCACCCCTTACAACCTACTTACCACTACTCCTAAGCCTGTACAGGGACCTTGTCCCACCAGCACCGTTGAGTTGAGCTAGCTCAACGGTGCGACAACAAAAAATGGCTTTTTTAAATCGGGAAAAAATGGAAATAGCATTTTTTTAAGGACAGCTGACGATTTTTTTTTTTTGGAAAATGTTCTTTTTGGGACATTTATTTTGCCGATGTTAGGAGATAATCATGACATTCTGCCGTGTGCAATGAAGATAGTGGACTCTGACACTATCTTTCCGCGTTTGCTGTGGGCACTGCTCTCCAACAAAAGTCAAGTCGGGCGGAGCACCGACTTCCATGAACCTGGCCTGTGGCAGTGTCCACGTTCGCGCCCTCTGTGTTTTCTGCTTATCCCTTTGGCTCGGAAGGGACCGATGCCGCTTGCAATCACTACGGTCCGCGTTCGAGTCCCAGCATGTCGAAAACACAGCTCGTGTGCGGACGCAGTCTTGTTTTTCGAACACTCTCGTAGCTGCCGTCTCTTGTCGACATACCGCGTTTCTGGTGACGGGTGGTGATTGGGGGGTTGTGGGGTAGGGCACCTCTTTTGGGTGTACCTTTCTGCGACTAGCAGTCACTGTCGCTGTGTTAGCGTGGTGTCCATCGTGGTGCTTTGTGTGGGTATGTTCTTCCGACCCAGCGTTAGGAGTTGCGGTGGCCGTCGGGTAGGTTCTACGTATCATGGCGGAAGATGACAGAGCTGTCGAGGACGCCATTGTGCCCATCCTCGCGTGTGCTCTTCAACTCGGCGAGGATGCGGTTCGGATTTTCGAGGACATCTGCAGCAGGCCATAGTGGACGGGGAAGCGTGTGATGCATGACATTTTTTAGGGTGGCTACTGTGATGACAGTGCATCACAGAAGAGGCGTAAGTGTACCAGTTGGCAATGGCCCGGGATAGTGACCGTTTGTGATTTGATGCCTCGCAATCCGCCTCGTTGGTGGGTGATGCATCGCACAGGTGGTGCATGGAAGGACCTCGAGGTGACCGACGACGCTGAAGACGACTATTACGTCACCCTGTTGCGCATGCGGAGATCTACCTTCAACCGCCTTCTTCGCGTGCTCGCACCACATCTGGAGAAGCAGGTCACCAGGTGGAGGAAGCCTTTGCCACCCGCACAGGTGTTGGCTTATGCATTGCACCGTTGGGCACATGGCGACTCTAATCTCAATAGCTCATGGACATACGGGATGGGAAAAACGAGCGGGCTACGTGCGGGGCGTGATGTTTCCAAAGCTATCATACGTTGTTTTGGATCGGTGATTGGGTTTGGAACGTTCGAGGAGCGGCATCGCCGGATGCAGAAGTTCACTGCGCTTGGTTTTCCAAACTGTTGGGGGTGCATTGATGGCACTCATGTCTTCGTCGACAAACCCAAGAAGAAGGACGGAGACGAATTTATGGGCGGTCACAAGCGAAGGTTCTCCATCGTCGCGCAGTCGGTGTTCGATACAGACTTGCGCATTCTAGACCTGTGTTATGGATTTCCAGGCACTGTAGCGGACGGGCGTGTCCTGCGGAATTCGTCTCTGTGGCGGAGGGGCGTGTCGGGGGAGCTGTTCACACAGGACCCCGAGGACTCGACCAGGCACTTGCGTCCCGAAATTCCCGGAGTCCCGGGGGGATACCTGCTTGCCGACGCAGGGTATCCCACATTGGCCTGGCTCGTGGTCCCTTATGGGCACAGCTATGTGGACCCGCGCACCAAAATATTCGATAGTCGACACAAGGTTGTTCGCTCACTTGTGGAACAGGGCATTGGGCTCTTTAAAACGCGGTTCCAGTATTTCTACAGGCCGCACGTGTGTGATTTGAAGATCGAGGGGGATGAGTTTTGGGCTGCTTGTATAGTGCACAACCTGCTTCAGGCGTGGGGTGATCTTCCAGAGGAGTACGTCCCGCCGCCAGATGCCGGGAGTGAAACACAACCTCCTCCGAGTCGAGCGGTGGCAGGAGAGCTGCGTGTAGTGCGCCATCTCCGGACCAGGGAGCCCGGGGTGCAAGTGCAAGACGCTTTGTGCGCACACTTCAACGCCTGGGTCGCACAACGAGCCCGGGTGGGGTGAAGTCACGGGCACGTCCCACGTGGCCATCGTAGAGTGAACACGTGTCTCCATTCAATCAAGGTGGTCGATTATGGCGAAGGCTGGAGGATGCAGCTCGTCGACGGGTTTGGGGAGCACGGGGGTGGATAGAGAAGTGGATGAGTGCGCATCAGGAGTTGCAGGTCCTGCATAGATTCCTTGTCAAGTGGGGAGATGACATCACGGTCGTTCTGAAAGACGGTGGGGAGAAGTGGCGAACGGAGCACAACCATAGCCATTACTGCGCAAGGAGATGGTGCAAGGCGGTTGGCAGTCGACTGCGGCAATCTCGCCTGAATGTGTGTAACTGTTGCAACGATGTCGTGGATAAGCTTTCCCAGTGGAGGAGCGAATACATGAAATTCACGAAGTTGATTAATGCGTTGAAGGACCGCAATGACGAGCTGCAGTGTGAGCTCCAGAAAGCGCGCGAGCAGCATGCGTACCTGGAAACACAGCTGCAAGATGCCATCGCCGCCATCGCAGAGGCCCGTGATCAACGGGATCTCGCATGGCACTGTTACGATGAGCAATTCGCCGAGATGACTTCCGATGGGCCGTGTGATGTCGACGCCCTGGCGGAGGATGTGCACGTTGTGACGCTTGAGGATGGAGGAGACGGTGCTGCACCTTCAGGCGACGAAGGACACGTGGCGAAGTGCACCAGATGCAAGTCATTGCAGACGAAAGTCGAAGAGCTCGGAGTGAAGCTGGAGGGTATGCGGTGGGCGAACACCCTACTACAGGAGCCTCCCTCATTTTGGAATGAAGTCTTCGAGGACTGAAGATGTGCGTCACAGCTGCAGTCTCTTTTTTGGGGTTTGGTGGAGAGAGAGAG